TTATTGGATGTTGCAAATCTACAATCGCAAACATGATTTCATACCATTTTGATCTGAAAGGACCATCATATGTTATCGATTCAGCATGCAGTTCTAGCCTTTATGCCTTGGCCGTTGGTTATGATTGTATCATATCGGGCAGATGCGAAGACGCTATCATTGGAGCTGCAAACTTATGTTTTGTTCCCCAAATAAACCTACTATTTTCTAGAATTGGTATTTTTTAGAAACTAATAAATTTCTTAATAAGCAATAAAATTACAGAAACATTTCTCTTATCCACGAAAAGTAGAATAAAATTAACTGATTAAAAGTAATTTTTACAAAAACGTTTATAATAAAATTTTTGTCAAAATTGAATAACACATCTTAATAAATAAAAAAGATAATTCTTTTAAACTTTCTGTGTATAAGCTCATCTTGAATAAACTTCCACATATATTTTTACATATGTATATTTCGTATCTCTTAGGCGTTTTGTCACTCATCGGTTATTGCAGACCTTTTGATGCAGCTGCAAATGGTTATTCGCGTGCCGAAACAGTGTCAGTGGTATACCTTCAAAAAGCGCAGAATGCGAAGAGGATTTATGCTATATGCCCGCATATTAAAATAAACAGTGATGGTTATAAAGTAGAAGGAATAACATTTCCATCGTCGTTTGTGCAAAGTACTTTACTAACAGAATTTTACAATGAATGCGGAATACCGACATCTTGTTTGGATTACATGGAGGCACATGGTACCGCTACCAAAGTTGGCGATCCCCCAGAAATTAATGCTATCTTTAATGTATTTTGTAAGGACAGAGAGACTCCATTAATGATCGGCTCTGTAAAATCCAATATTGGTCATGCTGAACCTGCTAGCGGTTTCGGTCAAATCGCTAAGGTAAAACAAATAACTTCTGTTTTTATTCATTATTAAAAAATTTGTTTTTATTTTACGTAATCACATATATGCACAAAAAGTTCAAAAAGAGAAGATTTAATTAAAAATATTCCTAATATCAAATAAAAATAATAAAGATCGGAAGAGCACACGTCTGAA